CGCCGCCGCCGGTGGCATGATCATCTGTCCGGTGATGCTGCCCGGACTGAGCATCGACTGTGGCGGCGGTGGCGGCGGTTGATGGTGATGGTGGTGAAGGTGGGGGTGGTAGAGAGGGGCGACGCCGGGCACTGGCACCTGTTGCTGCTGCTGCTGCTGGTAGTACGCCGGGTCGATGGTGTACAGGTACTGGCACTGGCTGATGCTCGCCGAGGAGTTGTTCTGCGAGTTGGAGTAGATCGAGGGCGGGTGGCAGCCGCTGCCACTGCCACCGCCGCTGATGTGCATCGAGGTGAGCGGAGAGCCGGCGCCGCCATGGCCGCCATGGCCGCCCATGGCCGCCCCTATGAGCGCCGCCCCTGCGGGCAGGAGAATGGGCTGTCCGGTGGCGGGGTCGATGGCGTAGGGGCAGCAGCTGCGAATCGGTCCCGGGTGACTGCGCGAGGTGCGCAGGCAGTTGTGCATACTGTGCACTGACCGGCGCTCCTCCATGTCCTCTAGGGTGGAGCGAAAGGCGCGTACAACTCGCAGCTGATGATGATTCGATTCAATTGAATTTTTAATGTTTTTAAGGAACATTTTTAAAAAGTTTTAACGTTTTTACAAGAAAAGTGGTGGGTTATATTTTGAAGCAATTATATTTTTGTTATATTTTGATTATATTTTGATTATATTTTGATGTGAGGCAAAAGTTGTTTGTTTAGAAGTTTTTTTGAAAGTTGAGGCGCGTTAGGGCAAAATAAATGATGAGTTTAGGGTAATTGTTGATGAAGTAAAGGCAAAAAGACGTAATATTTTCAATTGAGCAATGGGTTGTTGTTGTTGTTGTTGTTGAATGAGGCAATGTTGTTGTTGTTGTTGTTGTTAATGGTGAAGTTTTCGTGTTGAGAAATAAGCGAAAAAGGTGTAGGTAGAAAAGGATAGTATATAGGCAGTGGATGGAAATGGATAAGGCAGTGACAGAAGGGCAAATGGAGGACAATGGGCAGGAAATGGGTGTTTAAAACAAAACAAAAAACCAAACAAAAAACGCAAACAAAAAATAACGTAACATAACATAAAACGAATTTTACCGTAAATAAATGATAACGAAAATTAAAAAGTCATGAGTTAAGGAGTTAGGAGTCAAAAAGTCAGAATAATAGTAAATCAATTGCAAGAATTGTAGGAATAAATAAAGCAGTGGTGTGTGGATATGATTGGCAATTAGTGTGCAGTTTTTGTCAGTTATTTAAGTATGAGCAAGAAAAAACGATTAAAAAATGAGACAGAAATAGGATTAAATTAAAAGAATTGCCAACATAGAGAGCACAAAGAGCATAGTTAGGCAAATGATTCATAGTGTTGATTATTATTTTAAATAATCAAGTAAAAAATGAAACAGAAATATTCATTTTTGGTAGAGTAAAATAAAAAAAATGTTAGGAAAAGTCAATTCACACGCACACGCACACAAACGCGCAAAAACATTTGGCAAAACAAATGGGTAAATTTGGTTAACAAATGAGAATGTTCGATTGATCATGGTCAGTTGAACATAGATTTGGTCAGTTGAAACAAACACAAAAAGTAGTTTGTGTTATTCAAAAAAATTGACCAGCATAAGTTTACCCGCGCGCACGTCACATACACAAAATTAACCACAAAAAAATATATTAATAAAGAAAATTGTGAAAAATTAAAAATAAGTGAAAAGCACAAATAAAAAGTAAAAATGCAAAAATACGGTGATAAAGGTGTATGAAATTAGATGCAAAAATATATAAATAAACAAAAACGATGCAAATGCGATGTGGATCAAAAAATAAAAAGCAAATAAAGCATGGAATTTGGGTATGTTAAAAACAAAAACAAAAAATTTGTAATAAAAAGCAAAATCAAATATATATAAAACGCGCATTCCAAAAGCAGCACATAAAATTATGCGCAGACAGTTAAACGGACATTAAAGGAGCAATTAAAGTGAATTAGAAAGATAGAGAAAAAGTGAGTAAAAATGAATGTAAGTGAAAGTGAAATAGATTAAGTGATAGTGAAAAATCATGAGCGAAATAGCAGACAAATCACACACACGCACGCGCACATAAAGTAAGGAGCAAATAAAAAGTCAGTTAAAAATAAAAAAAATAAATTAAAATTTAAACAAAATAGATAAATGCAAATTAAAAATAAAAAATAAAAAGGGCAAGGTTTAGGAATGAGTGTGGTTAAAAAATAAAATAGATAGGAAAGTGAAAGAAAGATAAAGGCGGGTGGATAGGATTTTGGATGACAGAGAGGATAGATTATGAAAAAGAGAAGAAAGAGAAAGAAAGAAAGTATTGGTAAGTATCTCAGAATTGATTAGTAGTTATATGTGATAAGTAAAAAAATAAAAATTTAAATTTTTTAATTGTTATTTATGTCAGGTGTGTGTAATCTGAAAAATCTACTAATACGAATGCAAATGTTTTTAAAAGTGTAGCAATGTATTAACGGGAAAAATTAAAAAAGTGAGAAAAAGAGAAAAAAGCAGTAGAAAGATAGAAGAAAAGGGAAATGGGATTTAAATGTGTCTGATTGTGTTGTGTTTGTTGGGGGTTGCAGGGTTAATTAAAATAAAAGATGAAGATTTATTCTGCATTATTGTTATTCTGACAATCTTGTAAAAAAAGTTTCAAAAAGAAACACGCTCTTTCACACAAACAAGTAAATAAACTCACACGACGTTGTAAAATTATCAAGCAAACATTTTGTGATAAAACTTACAAACAAAAACTGTTTTTTAAACAACTATGTTTTAAGTAAATGTTTAGCAACAGTTTATAAAGTGTTGCTTAAAATATCACAAAACATGCATTGTTTAGTGATATTAATTGTTTTTTGTAACATTTTTAATTTCTAGTTATTTAACTGTAAATAGATAAAAAATTATCACAAAATTAAAAGTATGTAAAAACAATATACTGAAAAAAATTTGCAAGATGATAGCAAAAACTTTGTTTAAATAAAAAATGTTTTGTTAATTAACCAATAATCAAATAACTAGTAAGTATCTGTTTGAAATATTCAAATTTCATTAAAAAATAAGTTCAATTAAAATAGAAAATTTGATTAAAAAGTTAGGTGATAGGGAGTGGCTTAAAAAGGAGAAAAGGTAAAAGGGATGCGAGGATAAAATGGTGGATGTGGTGGCGGTGAAAGATGGTGAAAGATTGGAAACAGAAAAACAAAAAGGAGAGCAAGCTGCAAGGTTTAAGGAATAGATGAAAACAAAGATAAGCCTGAAAGGGTGAAAATAGTGGTGGCAGAGGTGGCAGTGGTGGTGATGGTAGTGATAGTGGTAGTGGTGAAAGTACTGAAAACCGAAAATAATAAAGAGAAAAAGAGCAAGTGCATAGGAGAAGATAGAAAAGATAGAGATAAAAGAGAGAGAAAGAGAACGAGAGACATTCGAGCAACAGTAAGTGACCATCAAAGCTGAAGAAATACGTGTTTTTAAATTATGAATTAATATTCTAAAGTTAGTTGAGCTAGTTTTTACTTGTTGTAAACTAGTGATGCTCTTTTTGGTTTTATTTTGATTAGTACTAATCACTGCAGCAGCAGTCATCAAGCAGCCGTTGAAAAAATGTACTGTGAAAACGTTTGTTGTGTAAAAAGGTGAACGATTAGGTGAGGTGGTGTTATTGTATTGTACACCTACGATTGAAAACAAAAGACAATGTGCACAAACTGAAACGATACTAAAGGCTAGCAAATGTTAAGAACGAGAATTGTACAAATACTGGTACAAAAAGCCAAACCGGTGGGTGCAATGAAACAAACTACACACACGAAGAACGAGTGAAAAAGAGAGAGGAAATTAACAAACTCAAGGCTGGTAGTTTTAACGTTTTAGAAAAAGGTTATTATTATTTTGCAATAAGAAAAACAGGATGGAAACAGTACATCAGAGTGTTTTAAGTGAAGGAAAAGATAGATAGATAGATAAATAAATAAAGGGATTAGGGAATGACGAGTAATGCAAGAGTAAGAGGAAAGTAGGAGTAAAAGGGATTATTTTGGCTACTGGTAAACGGCTCTTTGAATGGTGTTCTAATTATTGCTCTCAAAATGGTCGAAATGATCAGAATGGCAGATTTGAAATTGGGGCGTGAAAGATTGAGAAAATGAGTGAATGAGAAAGGGTAGTAGGAGGAGTGTGAATTCTCGGTCAGTTAGGTAAATTTGGGATTATTAAAGTGATTTAAAGAAAGAAAGAAAGAGAGAGAAAGAGGAAAATGGAACAAAATGGAAAGAGAGGAAGAGAGAAAAGTGTTTGGCAAAACGAACAAACAGAGGACAAAACAAAGGGATAACAAAAAGGATAAGTTGGTAGTAGAGAGCAACATACAAATGGCAAATAAAAAATAAAATAAAAATAGGAAAAACAAATCAAAGTGATAGTAGTGCAATAGTGCAATTAGGTAAAGAGTGTTTGCGTTTGACTAGTAATAGTGGTGTAAGTAGGAAAGGAAGGTGAAAATGAAGCAAAGGAAGGAAATAAAAAAGGAATAACTACAACAAAGAAAAAAATGATGCTTAAGTTAAAGTTTAAAAAACTAAAAACTGAAAATCATAAAGTAATTTAAAATAATAATAAAATAAAAATATACTAAAAAAACAGTAACAGCGCGTTTTCTCAAGTACAACTCACTCACACAAATTGTTTTTTAGAAATGACTGAACTGTATCTAAATGGAGATGCTTTGAGTGATAGCTAATATGAATAAATGAATTAGTTACGTACCTTTCCTGTTAAATTAAAGATTTTGCCTTGAAATTGTGAGATTGTGGACAAAAAGTAAAACTAATATTAAGTGCTGAATAACCTGAAAACCAATTAATTCATTAAATGCAAAATAAGACAGATTGAAAAAATTTAAACAATTAGGTAAACTTTGATCTTTAACAAACAGCAACAACAAAAATAACCTTTTCATTTGATTTTTTGTTTTACTTTGTTGTTGTAAAACTAATTAGCATTGAAAAGTAGTAGTTTAAAAAATGGATGGATTGAAACATGTGATGTCAAGCAAGACAGTCGAGCAACGGAATTGACTGCAAATTTTACCAGAAAAAACAACTCTTTTGCTGTGACAGTGAGTGAAGTTTACTTTAAGTTGACTGAGTTAGAAAACTCATCATCAAATAGCAACTTCGAGGTACATTTGAATGCGCTCAGTTGCAATTCCAAAAAATGATAACTTAAAAAACCTTAACTGTTTTTTCCTATAAAAACAAAAACTTATGCATGAATCATTATAAAATATTAACATGAGTTATGTTTTTGCCATCAATGTAATTATTGTTAGCATTATGAACAAATTTTGATTTATTTTTAAATAAATGGTCAGTGTGTATAGTGACAGCAATAAATACTTGTCACACACAAAGATTGTGCGTTTTTAAATCATTGTTTGTTCAAAAGTTAAAACAATACAACTAATTGACAAAACTTATAGTTTTAAAATTTAAAAATGCAAAAATGTAATTGTTTGGGCGGAAATTAAATAAAAAATGTTGAGCAAATGAAAAAATGTTGAAGCAAATATTTTCAACATTTTAAAATTTATCATTAATACATTGAAAAACTAAAACTAATAATATTTAATTTTTTCAATAACTAACTTTTGTTTTAACTATTTTTTTAAAATGGATACTGAACAAACTCAAAAATATTAAATGTTAAAAAACAAAAAAAATCAATATTTTTAAAATTAAATGAAAGAACAGCTAAGGAGCTGTTGATTTACATAAATGCAATTAACAAAACAATAAATAAAGTTATTGAAAAATAAAAATTGAACTTTGTTAAGAACAAATAAAGAAGCTCTAGATGAAAATAGTCTGCAGTCTGGTGGCGGCAAAATTAAGCATTGGTAAAAGCAACCTAATGCTTTGTATAAATTCAAATGCGACCGCAGTTTTTGTCGTTGTCATTAAGCCATCGAACATAGTTCATTTGTAATGATTTTCATGACTGACTAGATTAGAATAAATAGGGCGGATTCAGTGAGTAGTAAAGTGTAGAATGGTTGATTTTGTCTTTGGCATGCATAGCTTTGTGTTCTGCTGGTGATGTAGTGTGGTTGCAAAAATGCATCAACACAACCTTCTGTTCTGACTTGGGGTTTTAAATACAAACAAAGAATACTTTTTTAATTGACTAATAGTAGATAGGTAGTTGAGAAGGGTTTCGATGTGAGGTAAAATGAGTAAAAAAGAAAGACAAGTTCAAAGAATTGCCGTAAATTTTATTGGCAATTTTTTCTGTTAATTCAATGTAGCTGAACAAGCTGTTCAGTTTTGTTGTGACTAAAAAAATAAAAATCACTCATTCACACATTGTCACACGCTGCGATCAAGATGAAAACGCTCGTTTAACTGCAAAGTCATAAACTGAAATACTTTTTTTCAATCGTTTTTGTGAATGTTTTTTTTCTATGCAATCTCACAATAGCTAGCAAATGAGGAACCCATTAAAGATTTTACGTGTGTATAGACATGAATTGTTCAGTCAATAACGATAACTTGCAGGAACAAATCAGTTATTAAGTTTAAATGGGCAGTTAGTCCTCATAAGTAAGGCAATTTTTGAAGCATTTAGTGTCACTGACAGTGTTGTTGACACCTGTCTGACCATATAAGAAAAATAAAAAAAACTTTAAAAAGTTAAACATAAAATTAATGAAAAAACAAAAAAATCTAGTAAAGTACTTTAAAAGGTTGATTGTTGCACTGTTGAAAGTCACTGGCAAAAAGGTAATAGTATAGTGAACTGAACATGAGCCTCACTGCATTTAGTAGGCTAGCTTAAGTGTGGGCGTTTGGCTGAATAGTCTGTCTGGACATCAAGGTGGGTAGTGTGTCAGCGCGCAAAGATTTTTTTAAATTGTGTTTTACCCTATCTCATGTCCTCATCCTCATCATTCTCAGCACTAGGCTGGCCGTTTAGCTGCGGCGGCGGCGGCTGTTGCTGTTGCTCATTGGCTGGTGGTGGTGGCGGCGGTCTGCCTAGCCGCGGGGGCACGGCAACTCCCCCTGACACTGCCGCTGCCGGGGAGTCAATGCTGTTCTCTGAGCTAAGGTTTGACTGGGGTGGCTGGGGGCAAACGGAAGAGGAGGAAAGGGAAGCCTGCGGGGTAGGTGGGGCTCGGTACGGTCTGCCAGGAGGAGCTCCCGGCGCTGGCCGAGAGTGCTGGGAGTGGTGTGGCTGTTGTGGTGGTTGTGGGGGCTGAGAGGAGGGCACCTCGCCGGGCAGCACTGTCGACAGCGCCGCCTCGGGCGCCTCCTCGTCAATGGTGTCCGGTCTGCTGCCGGGCAGTGTGTTCTGTCGGTGTGGCTGTGTCGGGTGGTGTGACCCTGACTGTGATTGTGACTGTGGTGACTGTGATTGTGATTGTGATTGTGTGCTTGACTGTAGTGATTGTGGCCCTGTCTGCTGAGCATTACTACCGCTACTGCTACCGCTAGCCGCAGCAGTTGCTGCGGGCTGCTGTGAGCCGCTGTCGCCGCCAGATGAGGCGGAAGCAGCTGCTGCNGCTGCAGCCGCTGCCGCGGCGGCCGCAGCGAGCGTTGCGGAGCCGCTGGCCACCGCCGCCGCCGCCAGACTGGTGGGCGAGGTGGGCGAGCCGAGGCTCTGCCTCTTGAGCGACAGCTGCTGCGAGACGGTGCTGTTGTGCAGCTGTATTAGGCATACCTGAGTCTGGAGGCGTGTCAGGCCGCGAATCCACAGTATCTGCCCGGTGCGTTTGACGTCCTGCGAGAGGGAGCCGCTGCTGCCGTCCTCCACCAGCGAGCTGGTCGCGTCGATCATCTCATCAGGCGGGCCGCTGCCCCAGCTGAACTGCTTGGGAATGCGCTTCGTGGGGATGGTGGTGATGATCTGGCCCCAGACGAGCACGCCCACGCCGAAGAGGATGCACCACATCCACTGCTCCAGCGTCAGCGCGGCGGTGTTGAAGGGTCTACCGCCGAACTGCACGATGATCACCTGTGGTGGTTGCAAAAAAAAAGATTAAAATGTTGGTAAAAACATCGCATTCCCTCTACAAAGAGACAAAAGTCGGGTCGTACTTGAGCAATGGCAGTGACGAAGAGGATGCCGTAGAAGATGGGATTGGAGAAGAGGCCCTCAAAGATGTTTCGCTCGCCGTGAATCTTGCGCGAGTTCACCTCATTGAAAAGCGTCATCATCACAAAGGTGTTGAAGATGATGGTGAAGTGCTGCGAGGGCAGGGCGTTCAGTGAGGCGCCCAGGCCGGAGTCAATGTCGAAGAAGCGGTGACCTGAAAAAGAAAAAGGGGAAAATGGTTAATTTAGTATGAGAATTTTCGTATTTTTTCCAGCACAAGACAAAGGTTTACCCGCAAAAAGGAGGCTGAAGATGACCACCAGCTGGTAGATGGCATGACCGATGATGTTCTTCATCATTGTCCGCGAGATGAGTGGCTTCGTTCGGCCGTACGGCTTTCGCAACAGTAACGAGGTGGTGGGCATTTCAGTGGCCAGAGCAAGGGAGGCCAGCGTGTCCATGATCAGATTGACCCACAGCATCTGCACGGCTTTCAGTGGACTGTCCTGTTGGGTTCACACAAGTAGTGCAAACAAATGGGTTGTTTTAGGTAAAATAGCTACTGAATTCCATTCATAGCAAACCTCAATAGTGCAGGCGCCGACAAAGGCGACAATGACGGCGACCACGTTGACGGTAAGCTGAAACTGCAGAAACTTGGCAATTGAATCGTAGACATTGCGACCCCACATCACCGCCTGGGAAGGAGCATAAAAGGAGTTTTTTAATAGTGTTCAAGTTTTTGGTTTCTAGGTTTTCACCCACCTTGACAATGCTGGAGAAGTTGTCGTCGGTGAGGATAATATCAGAGGCCTCCTTGGCGACGTCAGTGCCGGCGATGCCCATGGCGAAGCCGACGTCGGCCTTCTTGAGGGCGGGGCCGTCGTTGGTGCCGTCGCCGGTGACGGCCACCACCTCTCGATTTGGATTCAACTTTGACTCGATGATGTGCTTCACGAGGATGTACTTGTCGGAGGGCGAGGAGCGAGCGAGCACCCTCAACCGCGGCCAGACCTTGTCGAAGAGCTCCTGGCGAACTTCGCCCTTAGAGTCGCGAATGCGCTTGTTGAACTCTTTACCCTCCAGCACTAAAAAGTCTTCTCCAGGCCGAATGATGCCGCACTTGGTGGCAATCGAACGGGCAGTGTTCACCTGTTGGTGGTAGGAGGAAAAAATAACGTGAAATTAGTTTTATGAAAAAAACATTCAAAATTGACTATTTCCAAAACTTACATTGTCTCCCGTAACCATTCGTACAGTGATGCCGGCTCGTTGACATTTTCGAATGGCGTCAGGCACCTGTGAAAAAATACAAAAAGTTAATAACATGATGTAAATGTAAAGTTGTTAAAAATAAATGTAAGCAATTTAATTTTATTGCATGCACATCTAGTTTTCAGTTTTTAAAACTTTTATTTTATTTTATTAAAAATTTTGTAATTTTATCAA